CAAGCTCAGGGTTGTCTCTTAACGACATTCAGCATACTGGAGCCAAATTGCAAAAGGACATCTCTGACGTGCTTCTCTGGTCTCGACAGAGCAAGTACATCTTTATGACGGACATCACGAAGATGTTCCGTCAGATCAAGGTGCATCAGGAAGACTGGCCTCTTCAACAAATTTTGTGGCGCGATTCTCAGGGCCAGATCAGCACCTACCAGCTCACCACTGTCACCTACGGGACCAAGTCTGCTCCATTTCTCGCCTGTAGGGTTCTCGACCAGCTGGTCAAGGACGAGGGACAGCGATTCCCTCTGGCTATCTCACCGTTGACCAGTGGCAGATATGTGGATGATATCTGTGGTGGAGCCGAGAAGGAAGATGATCTCCATCTTGTAGCTCAGCAAGTGACGGAACTTTGCTGGGCCGGTGGATTTCCTCTAGCGAAGTGGCACTCGAATAGTCCGTCTCTACTTCGTTCTCTGACACCGGACGGTTTCTCTCAGAGTCTGAAGCCGCTAGAGGACTCCGTCACTAAGATCCTTGGTCTGAAATGGGATCCCAACACAGATCGATTGAAGTTCTCTATCCATCTCTCAGCCGACACGAAGACAACGAAGAGGATTATTCTGTCCGAGATTGCTCAACTCTTCGATCCTCTAGGATTGCTATCACCGGTGGTGATTCGTGCGAAAGCTCTACTCCAGCAACTCTGGTTGGAGAAAAAAGATTGGGATGATGAGTTGTCCCCGCATCTGGTCCAGAAATGGGCTCAATTTCGTGAAGAATTGTCTCAAGTGGAACAACTCTCGATCCCTCGTTGGCTGGGGTGTAGGAAGGAATCTCAGGTGGAAATCCATGGCTTCTCAGATGCGTCTCTACTAGCGATGTCTGCGGTGGTTTATTTGAAGGTGACGAGTGCGGATGGTGTTAGCATCTCTTTGGCTATTGCTAAAACCAAGGTGGCTCCTCTCAAGAAGCTCACCATTCCGCGTCTTGAGCTCAACGCCGCAGTCATTCTAGCCAAGCTCACAAGGTACGTTATTGTTCAGCTCAACCTTGGTACCGCTATGGTACATTTGTGGACAGACTCAGCTGTTGCTCTTGCGTGGATCTGTGCTCATCCTTCCAGGTGGAAGGAATATGTCCACAATAGAGTAGCCAGCATTCAGGAACTCGTGCAGGAAGCGAATTGGAGGTACGTCAGTGGGAAGGAGAATCCTGCTGATTGTGCATCTCGAGGCATTTCGGTAGCTCAACTCAATGCCCATCATTTGTGGTGGACGGGCCCAAAATGGCTACGCAAGGATTCTTCTCAATGGCCGAAAGGGAGCGCAAGATTGGACCCGTCAACAAATCTCGAGGAGAAGCCTGGGGTGACTCTAACTGCTTCTCTCGCGAGGTCAAGTCTCTGGGATCTTTGCACGCGATATTCCTCTCTCTACAAATTGTTGCGAATCACAGCAATTTGTCAAACGGTTGCAGGGAATATGATGCGGAAGTTGGGAAGGAAGAAGGCTGTTGTTGTCCCTGCAGTGTTTAGCCCTGAAAGCATCGAGGCAGCTCGGCTTTATTGGGTCAAGGCGACTCAAGCCTTTCATCTCCAAGCCGAGTGTGACATTATCTCTCACGGATTCCAACTGAAGAAGTCTCATCCGTTGACCAAGCTCACGGCCTTCATCGACCAACAGGGTGTTCTCAGAGTGGGCGGGCGTTTGAAGTTCTCAACTCTAGGACCAGAGAGTAGGCATCAGGCGATCATCCCTAAAGGTTCCGCGCTCGCAGAGCTTCTCATTAGGGACTCTCATCAGCGAACGCTGCATGGTGGAACTCAACTCACGTTGGCGCATCTCAGGAGGGCTTACTGGATTATTGGAGGTCGTCTACCAGTAAGATCCTTCATCCTCAAGTGCGTTGAATGTGCGCGTCATCGTGGGATTCGAGCTCAACAGCTGATGGGACAGCTTCCAGTGGCACGTCTTGTGTCGGATCGGGCTTTCTCTAACACTGGTGTGGATTATGCCGGACCAGTGTCGCTCAAGACGTGGAAGGGGCGTGGTCACAAGACCCAGAAGGGCTGGTTGGTGATTTTTGTGTGCATGGCCACGTCCGCTCTCCATCTGGAAGCTGTCACGGATTACTCTGCTGATGGGTTCATCGCGGCCTACAGGAGGTTCGTAAGTCGTCGAGGGTACTGCAGACATCTCTACAGTGATTGTGGCACTAACTTTCTCGGTGCTGACAAGGAGCTGAAGAAGCTGTTCTCTGCTGGCGCCAAGGAATTCCAGCATCTCTCTGCAGTATGTCTCAAGGATGGAACGCGGTGGTCGTTCAATCCTCCTGGAGCCCCTCATTTCGGAGGAAAATGGGAAGCAGCGGTAAAGTCGGTGAAGTATCATCTCGCTCGAACGGTTCGTGATACAACTCTCACGTTCGAGGAACTTTCGACGCTGCTGACCCAGATTGAAGCAGTTCTCAACTCCAGGCCTCTACAAGCGCTCTCGGAAGACCCTGATGACTTGTCCTGCTTAACCCCAGGGCATTTTCTCATTGGAGAAGCTCCAATAGCTCTTCCGGAGCCTTCTTTGGATCATCTCAACGTTGGACGGCTCTCTAGATGGCAACTGATTCAGCAGAGGCTGCAGTTCTTCTGGAAACAATGGTCTACAGGGTATCTGCAGCAGCTCCAGTCCATCTCCAAGTGGCATCATCCGTCCAACGAAGTTAAAGTCGGCAGCCTGGCACTTCTCTACGACGAGCGGTTCCCGCCATCGAAATGGCCTCTTGCTCGTGTCACAGCTCTACATCCCGGGAGGGACGGTCTCTCCAGAGTTGTGACAATTAGGACCGCCTCGACGACGTTGACCAGGCCGATCTCCAAACTGGTTCTATTGCCGATCTCTACCAGTTAGAACTGGTCTTTCTCGACATGTTTAATCTCTGCTTAGTTTTCAAGGTCCTCAAGTACTGCTCTACTCCTTCAGTCAGCAACTGGGTTCCTGACGGGGGGAGAATGTTGAGGCAACAGCCTCATACTCGACAGGTCCAAGGGGTGGCAGCACTTCCTTGACTCGCTCTGCCTGACCGGCCGCGCTGCCATGTAGGTGCTCCAACCACGCACCGGTAGCGCTGACCTTCGTCTTCTCGAATCATTATTATTATTCACTCACAACGGTCGTTCTCTGTGCAGCGTCATTTTTTTGCTCTAAAACGGTTATCTCTAAACCGCGTGTGCATCTCAACATATCGTTTTTCTCTACCGTGTTTAACGGAAACAGTGTTTGCTCNATAATGAGGATATTTCTATGGAAGATTATGCTCACGCTCAAAACATTTGGAATACTTTCGATATCAAATCATTGGGTGAATATTCTGACATATATTTGAAAACAGATGTCTTATTATTAGCAGGTATCTTCCAAAATTTCAGACACAGTTGTCTCTCTGTATACAAGCTTGATCCTCTACACTATTTCACAACACCTGGACTGGATTTTATGGACGCCATGCTTAAATGCACCCGTGTGAATCTCGAATTGTTGACTGACATTGAGGTGCACCTATTCATTGAAAAAGGTATTCGAGGAGGAGTTGCTCAATGTATAAATCGGTATGGCTCTGCTAATCACAAATATATGAGAGATGAGTTTGATTCTAACAGAGAAGTGAGTTATTTGATGTATTTCGATGTAAACAATTTGTACGGTGCCGCTATATTTCATTATCTCCCGTATGGATGATTTGAATGGGTGGATCCATTATCAATTGATGTTAATTGCATCTCAGACGAGTCCTCCATAGGATATATCTTGGAAGTTGGTCTGGAGTACCCGAGAGAACTCCATGAATTACACAAAGACTTACCGCTTTCTCCAGAAGATTTCATTCCACCGCAGAAGAAAATTTCGAAATTAATGACTACACTTTTATCGAAGAAAAATTACGTAATACATTACAAAAATTTAAAACAATGTCTCAAGCTAGGAATGCAACTGACGAAAATTCACCGTGCATTGAAATTTGCTCAAGCTGCTTGGTTAAAACCGTATATCGATTTGAATACTGAATTGCGAAAGAAATCCACCAACGAATTCGAGAAGAACTTCTTCAAGCTGATGAATAACGCTGTCTTCGGAAAAACTATAGAAAATGTGAGGAAACAGAAAGATGTCAGACTTGTGACAAAATGGGATGGAAGATATGGTGCCACAGCTTTGATTGCTCAACCGAATTTCCACAGCTGTACGATATTCGATGAAGAGGAGAATTTGGTCATCATCCAATTGAATCGCAACGAAATATGTTTCAATAAACCCGTTTACATTGGATTCTCTATCCTTGACATTTCCAAGACATTCATCTATGATTTTCATTATGAATATGTTAAGAATACGTTTGGCGATCGAGCGAAATTATTATACACTGACACAGACAGTCTCCTGTATTAATTCAATATCCTAGACATTTATGAATACATTAAACATATCTCCAAGTTCGATACGTCAGATTATCCTGAGAACAATGAGTATAGTATTCCAAGAGTCAATAAAAAGGTGTTGGGTTTAATGAAAAACGAATGTAACGGAAAAATCATGAGTGAATTTGTTGGCCTACGAGCCAAGTCTTATACTTTCAAAATTCATGGAGAAAATAAAGAAAAGAAGCGAGCCAAAGGTGTCAAAAGTTCAGCCTTGAAAACCATTACATTCGATGATTACAAAGAATGTCTCTTTCATAATCAGAATTTAATTAAGTCCCAGTATTTGATTAGAAGTATGAAACATGATGTTGAGACGATCCACCAACGGAAATTAGCTTTAAGTTGGGAAGATGACAAGAGGATATTCTGTCCTAATACTACTGATACTGTACCATACGGTTATGAGAAATGAAGAGGAAGACCGTGATTTGTTAATGAACATTGGTTTATTTTGTATATATTGTACGTTTATTCTTGTATATAAAAATATTGTACATTTTTGTAATGGAAATAAATTGAATAACACAAATTATAAATCATTTTTATTGATCCAACTGTTGTGAGAATTATCGAAGCCCAGCCATTTGACAAAAATTTGATTCCCACGTCTTCGAAGGATTTTTTCCACGAGATAGACATCAGGATATTTGACTTTGGTTAGTTCCTCTTGGTAGAATCCACCTTCAATTGGCTTTCCTTCGTAATCTCTGAGTTTGTACGTCACGGGGTCGGTGTTGACAACTTCGTCGATGGTGAATATTTCCGTTGTCCAGTTAGGTGTATAGCCTTTTTCAAATATGTTCTTGTATTTGCTGATCCGCACTCTCTCTCCAACTTTGAATTTGACTTTTTTCGTACGATTCACATGGAATTTACCGTAAACATGTCGTAGAAGATATTTCTCATGGTCCGCAGAGACATCTATGGGTTTCATATGGATTGCCCGATGCTTTGTGTTGTTATAAGACTGAACCAGCGTCTTGACTATAGGAATCCATTTGTATGTTCCTGGCAAACTGAACTGCTTCCACATTTTTTCTTTGAGTGTACGATTGAATCGCTCAGGTATAGACACTTTAAGATTACTGAATGTTGAATACATAGTGATACCATTATCTTCCATCAGTTTCTTGAATTCATTGTTGTAGAATTCTTTTCCTCGATCCACATGCAATTTTTGTGGTTTACGTCCTTGCTTCAGCACAGACTTCATGGCATTCGTCACATCTTTTGCATTTTTAGTTTTAGTTGGCACAGCCCAGGCATATTTTGAAAAAATATCAATGACTGTTAGGAGATATTTGTAACTATTGTTTTCACGAGCATATGCAGTCATATCAACAAGATCAGCCTGCCAAGTCTCATCCACATCACACACATCCACATGACGCCGTAGGTAATTTCTTCGAGCTGGTCTATGAAGTTCTTCAACCACTACCGCTTTTTTGTCCGTTCTCCAATGCAATCAGACGTTTATCCAAGTCACCAATTATTTCAGATTTTCGCAATGCTAGGTCTTGATTTGTTTCTTCTTGAATTCTCTTCAATTGCTCTGTAATCATTGATTGCAGACCATCAAGAATTGACTGAATCTCACGTGAGACAGATTCTCTCAATGTTGTTAGTTCGTCGCTCAGATGTTTAATGGTCTTTGAATGATTAATCAAGTGCGCTTGTACTTCCTCTTCATCAATACGTTTTTGTTTCATAGTCTGCAAAATTATTCCTCAAACGATTGTATCATTGTTTGGATTCCATCAATTCTACCACCCATAGGTCCAGTAACATTATATATGAGCCGAATCTCCTTTCTTATCATATTGCGCAGTATTTTCAGAGAGACTGCATTATTCTCTTCCACAGAATGAGCTAGATTGCATAATCTACGATGATCCATATCATATTGGCCATCAGCAGTTACCTTAAATCCTTCTCCAGGAGGACCACGAGTGGAAGCCCTCACAGCACTTATGATATTGCTCAATTGTCGTCCAAACACGTCAACACTCATGTTCTAAATGATAAATTATTATGACTACAGCTTAATAAATAATCCCAGCTTCACGCAACTCTTCCAGTATCGACATGATTTCATTGGTGTGACTCATATTTCCAGCTGATTGTGACGCCATAAGGAGTCGAAGTCTATCCACTAGCTCATTAGGATCATTCCAATATACATAATCCATTTTTATAGGTTTCACTGATACAATCATGTGGTGAGGTAAAGCTGTCCCACTTTTCTTGAGTTTGATAAGATGTGCAATGATATTGAGATATTTCTCGGTGGTATTCTTTCGGAGATGTCCGCTAGATTTATACCGCATTCGATGTGCATTTGTACTTCGTATGATATTGCCGTAGATTTGTTTATCAGGTTCTGCTATGAGACTCATGTCAGGTGACTTCTTGAAGTCAATTCAATTAGACCAGGAGTTAATGTATACTCCTCACCTTTGAGCTTTCTTGAATTTTCATGAAAAGTCACATGAAAATCGCCAATTTTCATACCGTTTTGTAAAAAACGTACACCGAATTCTGTATCGAAGTCGCTCTTTTCACGCTCTGTATTGTATTGATCTAAATACGTTTAAAGAAGCTTTTGGGAAGCTATAGAGGATTCCGAGTTGGTTGATGAAATTGGATCAGCTGAACTCATAGCTTTTATTGGGGATATTTTCTTCGCAGGAGTACTTGCATGTGCTGTTTCAGAGTCAGGTGAGAATTCTGCTACAGATTCATATCGAGAAGGACTCTCATAGTTATCGTCCATATCTTTCTTTATTCTAATAGAAGAATCAGCTATTTTTCTTTTCCTTTTCTTTTTATTTGAAGACTCCTTCGTTACCGACTGATCCACCAATTTCTCAAGAGAAGTTATAACTGGTTTTAGCACTTCACTCATAGCTTTTTCAGTGGTTTCTCTCCCTAATTTTATCATCTTATGTTTGCGGCGAATGGCATCACTCGCTTGAGTGATATTCCGCAATACATTGGTCTCCTTGAAATTTTCGCTCTGCATGTTGACACTTGTGCTGTCACTGAACAACTATTCTCAATCTCTTCAAATAATGCATATTTATCTTTTCATGAAGCAATCGAATCCTTTCCGATATCGCCCATTATTGAGTTCACTATCTTTATCAATGACAACGAAGCTATATTTACTTTCATTCCAGCATTTCGCACACAAATCTTTGAATTCTGTGAAGGACATGTCAGTATTAACATGATCCTCATAAATCTGCTTCAAATTCATCTCGTCTTGACGGAAAAGTATCAGTAAATTTGTGTTGTCACACACAATATGTTTTGGTATACGAGGATAGGTTTGACTTAGATAGAAACTATCAACATCTCTATGTCGTTCCATACAGAAAAATGCTCGCATATTATCTTGTTTTTCACATGCCACATCATCAAAAATCATGATCGAATTTGGTTGAATATTTTCTGGTCTAATAACTTCATCATGTTCACTATACGCAAAATAACCTATGCCCTTTATACCAGAAAGTAAACGTTTGAGATATTAATATTTCGGTTGATTTAAAAATTTTGAATATACATAGATATTCTCAAATCTTAAACCATTAGGATGGACTATGAGAGCCAATAAAGCGTTCCACATTGTCTTTCCACAATTTGAGGATCCACAGATAACTGCTCGTACACTACTAGGTAATAGAGGTCCATGACGCTTTTTCTCTTTTTTCCTCAGCATCAGGTTATCGGAATTGATTATTCGAAATGATGTAGTCTGCTTCTTAAACTTCATGGTTAATGACTGATCAAAGAATTATAAATATCAGTCATAGAAATCCATACCATTCACTTGCCAGCCATTGACGTTGGATCACCATCACAGTCGCCCAGTACTCAAAGCATACACATGTTCAATGATGTCACAGCGAATCATTGAGATCCATACTCCTTCATGTTCTAGTAATAACTGACACACATGCTTATAAATACGCGATATTTATTCTATTACTCATCAGGTCTTATTTGGGCATGAAAGGGTGCAAACGCAAGAGAGAGCGTCGAGGTAAAGGTTTAGTGAATAGTATTATCAACGAACTTCCTGTTGAATTACATATACCAGGCTATCAATATTGTGGACCTGGGACAAAATTACAAAAACGATTGAAGCGAGGTGATCCTGGTATAAATTCACTTGACGCCGCCTGTAAAGAATACGATATAGCCTACTCAAAGAATCGAGATAACCAAACTGCACGACACGAAGTGGATAAAATTCTCACAGAGCAAGCTTGGAAACGAGTTTTATCGAAGGACGCAAGTCTCGCCGAAAAAGCTGCTGCTTGGGGTGTAGCCAATACAATGAAAGCGAAAACCTCTCTCGGAATGGGTATGAAAAAAATTCGTGGCCGAGGGGTTGTGAAAAGGAAGACGAGAAAAAGGAAACGTGGTGGCGCTATGAAAAAGAAGGTCTCCTTGAGACAAATTGTTCGAGCTGCTTAAACTTCCATGCGTCCAGGAACCAATGCCATCAAATTGGCTCTCAACGGGGCACGTGGAGCAGTAAAAGAAGTTGGTGGTAGAAAGCGAGTGCAATCACCTCGTATCTTACCTGCACCAGCCAAAATTGAGGGTGTATTACCCTTCCTCATACCTCTTTTTGCCGGTTTGAGTGCCACTGGAGCACTGGCAGGTGGTGCTGCGGGCATTGCGAAAGCTATTAATGATGCTAATGCAGCCAAAAAAGCGCTACAAGAGAGTATAAAACATAATCGAACTATGGAAGCGATTGCATTGGGCAAGGACTTATACTTGAAACCTTATAAAAAAGGCTTGGGACTCCATTTAAAAAACGTATAAAGCTACCACACCGAGCCCTCACCGACGTTGATTTATTGAAATATGCCAAAGCTATGAAAATTCCACATTTCCGTAGAGTATATATGAGGAACGAAATACCCAAGACAGATCCACATAAATATGAATCAGCCATTGTCAATCTTGATGATAAAGATGGACCTGGTACGCATTGGGTTGCATACAAAAAGCGAAAGAATGAAATTCTCTATTTCGATGGCTTTGGTAATCTTCAACCACCTCCAGATTTGATGAATTATTTCAGTGTTGGTAGCATTGTACAGTATAATTATGACCCATTTCAAGAGTATGATACAGTAGTATGCGGGCATTTATGTTTAAAATTTCTCGATGGACAATTGATATAAAATCTGCATACATCACCTTATCGACATCAGTTGAATGATAACAACGATGAGTGCATCTTTCACCTTAACACTATCAGGCACCTCTTCAGTGTTGGAGGCTCATTATTTTCCACCTATTGAATTATCACCATTGAAGAGCTATACTCTGGGACTCGCTGAACTACTAACCTTCAATTCTATACCCAACATAGACATTGGGAACAATAAATTTTATGGTGGTGATAAGGTCATCGAGATACCTACAGGAAGTTATGAAATTGAAAATATCGAAGATTATTTGGTGGAGAAACTCGCTGAATATGATGTATCAATTACCCTTAAACCTAACAATAACACTCTGAAAAGTATCAAGTGTAGCCATCCGATAGATTTTAACCAAAAAGATTCTATTGGTCGTTTGTTGGGCTTTGCACCGAAAATTCTGATACCTCATGTTACTCATGAATCTGATTTTCCTGTGACAATCCTCAAAGTCAACTCACTACCAATTGAATGCAACATCACCACTGGAGCCTACATTAATGAATAAAGAGTACACACTATACATGAATTCTTTCCAACGGTTCCACCAGGATATAAGATCATTGAAGTGCCATCAAACATCATTTACCTTCCAATCGCCGTACAAGCAATAGATCATCTTCAACTGGAAATTGTCAATCAAGAAGGTCAACTGGTAAATTTCAGAAGAGAAGTTATAACAATCAGATTACACATAAAGACATAATATGGGTATTGTTTTCAATAAGAAGACAGGAGGCAGTTATAAAAGTGAGTCATCATTCCCAATTCGAAACAGTCTTCGAAAACCTCGCAAGGTGTTAACACCGCAGAACGTAAAATTCCTGAAAAGTTTAGGTCTCAGACTTTGAAAAAGAAGAAAACAGTAAGGCAAAAACTCCGTACATTCTTCTGTTGTTGCATCATCAACTGCAACCAACCATGGAGGAAATCCTGAAAATTCAAAAACCCATAATCTTTGATGAATCTATTGCGCATTATGAAATTCATGCGCATCAACCATTTGCGTCAGCAACTTTTAACAACAATGATGAAATTCGCATCACTGTTCAACATCAAGACTTATGCTTGCTTCCATGTAAGAATTCACTGCATATACATGGACGTTTAACTAAACTCGATGGACATGTTGTTACTCACACGAGATTAGTGAATTGTGCTATTCTTCATTTGTTCGAGGAGATACGTTATGAACTCAATGCTATTGAAATTGATAAGAATAAGAACGTTGGCATCACAACACTTATGAAGAATATGATATCGCAAACTCCAAGTCAAGCTGCTCTAATGGAACATGCTGATTGCTCACTTAGAGATGATCAATCTACTATCATTGATGACGATGGCTATTTTGATATTTCCATTCCATTGAAAATGATATTGGGGTTCGCTGAAGACAATGAACGAATCGTCGTAAAAGCTAAGCATGAGTTGATCCTCACTAGAGGGAATACTGACGTAAATGCAATCATTCAATAACCAGCAGATGGAGTTGCAGCTGAACCATTCAAACTCTCTCTCGATAGGATCGAGTGGATGATTCCCTACATCAAAATAGCTGATTCTAGGAAAATCAGTTTGTTGAATTATATCTCTAAGGATGCACCTATCCCGAACAGTTTCCGAGCTTGGGAATTATATAAGTACCCACTCTTACCAGCTACCTCTAAACATCTCTGGGTGGTGAAATGTTCAACGAAACTGGAGAAACCTCGATATGTCATCGTGGGATTTCAAACTAACCGCAAAAATCAAAATAATAAAAATGCTAGTCGTTTTGATC